TGCACTAATAGCACCATTATAGTATTAAGTAATCAGTGAAAATCAGTAAAACCCAGAGTGAGCCTGATTTTCCTCCTAAGATAAGTTTAGTTTCTTTTTACTTTGGCCCTGTGAACCATCAGTGCGACTGCCTCTGAAGGCCACCTGCTGCGAGACTAGTAGACTTCCTTGTGCAGCTGGTTGGCCACTATGGGAACAGATTGCTGGACTAGGTAGGCCAGGGGTCCGATCTAGCAGGGCACTGCTCATGTTGCTAGGTTCTAATCTGTCTCAAGATGCTGAATTGAGATCAGTTTTGTTCCTTCCATCTCCTGTAGGCAATCTTGAGACAGAATGTTTCTATGCAGCTTGAACATTGATGTGATTAAAAGTGCTAACAAACCCTTTTCCTGGGTATAAAGCTGCACATTTGCTCCAGGGAAGAGAAGGTTATGGGGATGTGATATGAGAGTCTTAGCCAACTAACCTCTGGATAGCTAACTTCTATTTCCATCCATATAGACAGTTATCCTTCAGTTAATTAATCTGCAAAAGCAATAGCTCCAGCTGTTTGACTGGAGAAAATGGTGAGGAGGCTTTCAGAGTTCAGCATCTTCTGACTTTTTGGAGCATTTATACACAGATTGTGAGTGATAAAAATGGATCCTGTCATATATTCCCTCAATTCATTCTTGAAAATGGAGTAGGGAATATGTTTGGCTTGGAGATTGACCAGAAATGTCTCTCATGTGGTCTTTCAGTGTCTGTGATCTAGTCCTTTAGTCCAAGTAAGGACTGAAAACATATTAACTTCCACTCGGTTTTTTAACAAATTCCCTTATCTGAGATCTCAGCTGAATTTGAGCCACACAAAAACACGCTTTTCCATAATCTGGCTTCCAAATTAGTCTACACCCTCAACTCCAATGTAAGCAGCATGAACTTGGTTCAGAGTTCCCTGTTGTACTGTGCTGTAAGTGCAAGTGAAGGGGTTCAGATTAAACAAGATGCCAGGTACATAATATAGCATAGAGATAATTTTGTGCATGCTCAACATTATGTTTAATTTGGGCTTCAATACAATTGATAATAAGAAGCTGCCTTGCTTGGTAAAACCATAGAGATTAAATACCCTTAGCATCCTACTTTCAACAATGGCCATCCAGATGCATCTGGCATCTAACAGGCATGGAGGTGATAGACATCCCCTGTTGCTTGACCCTGATATCTAGTACCTCAAGATGTACTGCTTCTCGATATTCACCAGGAGTTTATGTCATCCTCTAATAATACTTATCCATTGTCTACTTAGAGCAGAAACCTCATTCATGTAAATGGACATTTTCCCCAGGTAACTGGCATAGGACACAGCCTTAAAACACAGCTTTTTGCTATAGCCATTTGTGGCTCAGGAGCATAACTTTGGAATGCATTTCTTCAACCTACTGTCAGCCAACTTCACAGAAGTGTCTGAAAAGCAGGTATTACTTTGGTGGGAAAGAAGAACTTAGACATATTGTTGAGATTTTCTGTAGTGAAGTATGTTTCTTGAGTTTGGCCATTTGGGTTATCTTTCTGTGTTTTCCTCAGTTCTAGTATATTCTTTTTGGAGTAAGCTGAATTGCATGGACTATTAGAAATGGGAAGATGGTGGGATGCTAGCATTTTGCACTTGGTCTGTTCCTTTTTGCTAGGAGCAGTGAGCTAACCCTGTGTTCTCTTCTTATTTTGTTTACCAAAGTGAAATAAGTATTTGGTGAATGAAATTCATTCAGTTGTAATGTCAAGAGTTTGATAGTTCTGGGATTATTCTTTTTTCAAAGTTTTAAATAAATATATAGCATATATCATGCAATTAGTAAATTACTGGGAAAATGCTATATTTTAATTTAGAATAAAGTAAAACATTTTATACTTTAAAATCTGGCCAAAGATGATACTGATCCAAGTGAGTGTCTGATGTGAACCCAAGCCTGGATATTATACGTACATACATAATGAACATGAACTAAACTTGAACTTTTAATGGTTTAACTCTCTGCTCTCAGCACATGTAAGACTAGGCATTTTATGCATTAGTCATGCAATGATTTGTACCTAATGACTCTAAAGAGACAAAGAATTATAACATTTAACTGGATATCTCTCTATTATTGGGAAGGGTGAATCGAAAAAGGTCTTTTTTGGCTGAAATTAAAGACAAAATAATTAGACAATTTCATTATGAAAGTAAAAAATGGAAAGTAATGATCTGGATTAATTATAAATATTAAAACAACAAAAGGAATATCAAGTATGAACATATAGATAATGGTGAACAAAATAAAGGTGATAAAAAGTTTTTCTCCCTTGGACTCAAGAATATTAAAGATGGACAGTATGCTGGAGAAGTGAAGAGGATTAATCCTATGAAAATGCAATGACAAACTTAAAATAACTTTTTATTGCATGATTTGTATATGAGAACAAAATACTGTAGTTCAAATAGCAGTCTTTTTAGTGGTAATGTATGGCTGTGAAAGATCTGAGAAGAAATGAGAGGGGAAAAAAGGATAGATCCTTTTGAGTTAGGGATGTGAAAAAGGTTGCTAAAGTTGCCAGGAACTGCAAGATGAACCAGTTAGTCCTGGATCATATACTGTAAATGACCACACCCTAGAGATGATGATCATCAAACAGAAACTGTCATACTTCGGGCATGTGTTGTAAGTGGATGATGGATTAGAAAAAACAACTGTGCTTGAAAGATTGAAGGAAGTAGAAGGGAAAAACAATGGATAAGGCAAGGTCAGAGAGATCACTGAAATACCCTTTGGAGAGATACAGATTGTTACCAGGCATTTGCTCATAGAATCACCAGAAGTTGGCCCAACACAACTGCACCTGACTAACTTCAGAATGTAAGAAGGACCATGTTGGCTCACATGAAAGATCTGTGTTATCCAGTATCTTTTAGGAGCTGACCCCATACTTCTGAGAAGTTCACACAAGGACATGAAGGCAAGTCTTTTTCTGTTGCTGTTCCTCAGCAACCAGTATTGAGAGGCATACAATGATTTACACTGAGCAACTGTTTATAGACAACATTTCAGCTTAAGTGACTAAGGGGAACAAAAATTAACAATTTGCAATATAATATTCTGTCTCTTAAAAGAAATACTGTACAGTACTTTGATTTGCTTCTAGCTTATGATTCTCTGTAAGCAAGCATTTCACTCTCCTTCCATCCATATTCTACATTTTTTCAATTTTTACAAACTGTATTTCTGAACAGTAAAAGAGTTATGTTTGGTGTTACTATAAATCTTGAGAATGTATAGATTTTCTTCATCTTGTTTCTCATTTGCTCCATTTTTATGTTAGTCTTATTAGCATTCATCGCCAGAGTTCCTCTGTTCAATCTTCTGTTTAATCTCTGTTTTTGTTTTTGTATTGGCTTTTAACTATTTATCAGAATTACACCTGCTCCTTATATATGGGCATTCCAGTCTTCTGGGAAATCACTAGACCTGATATAAAGCACATGTTCAGTGCTCTTTCAAAAGACTGGTAGGCCTCTGTATGTATGCACATGTGTCTGTCTGTCTGTCTGTCTATCAATCATCTACCAGTTTCTTTAAACTGAGAAAGAGCTGTATTGCTTGTTCTGTCTCAAATGAGGATATCAGCGTTTTCTATTGCTTCTACCAACAAGAGGTTCTTCATGACCATGCTTTCTACTGTTTTTAAAAGGGAGGGAGGGAGACAGTGTCATTTTGCCTATTCTGATGCCACTTTTCATACTCCATGGGATATCTCTGAGGGTTCCCAACCGTGACCAGTCACTCCTGGCATTGCCACTCCTTGCATCACTTATTGATTTTGAATATTGGGAAACTGGGGGGAAAACTAAGTAACTAACAAGACTTCTACCAATTTTCCCTTCTGGCCCAAATGACAAGAAGAATAGTTAAACTGTCTACCAGTTTTCTGAAAGACTGGTAAACCTCTGTCCCAAAAAACTCCAGCTAACAGGCATGAGTGGGGGACAGCCAGGAGCTTATACCAGAAAAATTATGCCAGGATATTTTTCTGCTGAGTCGGGGACTGGAGGAATGCACATTAGTGCAGTCGCAAGGAACAGCCCTAAAAATCATTAGCAGATCAGTTACCTCATCCTAAGCCAAAACATGACCTCCTGCAGTGGTTTTGTATTAATATTTCACAGCATGAAGGAAGAAGACTGAGCCCTGTGGAACTTACAGTGGTTCGTCTCCCACGCGCACTGACTAGAACTGCCCACTTTGGAAGGAGTGGAACTGCTGCAAAACAGTATCTCAAAAACCTAATCCTAACAGAACGTCCAGAAGGATACCATAGTCCAGGGTTCCCCAAAGTGACCAATATCAACTCCCAAGGGTTGATGGGACTATCCATTGCTGCTGCTGCTGTTTTAATCATAGTACTACTAGTTAAAGTAGTATGTATTACATTATTTTCATATAATAAATGTTTGGGGTCAATGAACAATCTGAAATTTCATGAAGAGGTTGATGAGTTGAAGAGTTTGGGGACCCCTGCCATGTCAGTGGTATGGAACCCTGCTAAGAGTCAAATAGGGCCAGGAGGATCACATTCCTTCCCTTGAGGTCCCAAGAAGGATCTTCCACCAGAGCAATCAATGCTATTTCTGTCCCATGCCCAGACCTGAACCCAGAAAAGGGCTCAGAAAATCTGTTGCTTCTAGTACCCTCAGTAACTGAAGCCCCACTGCCTTCTGCAAAACCTTCTCAGAAAGACAGGGTTTGAGATAGGTCACTGCAGAACTGACTTGCTTCACATAGCTTGCTAAATCCTAAACTGTAGTTAAGCAACCACAATGGCTGGATTCTCATTTTATTCTAAGCCAAAACCAAGGAACATTCTATGGGTTAGCATGTTGTTTAATAGTTTGCAATAGTTTGTTAGGAAGTAAGAATTAACTTTTTTTAAAAAGACCTTACAACACTGAATGCATTCTCTCTCTCTGTCTCTTCTCTCAGATTAAAGAAACTTCTTGAACAGGAAAAAATCTACCAGGCTCGCAAGGACAAAGAACATGCAAAGCGCCTCAGTAAGCTAAGAGAAGAACTTGTTAAACTGAAGTCGTTTGCACTTATGCTGGTGGATGAACGGCAGCTGCACATTGAGCAACTTGATCAGCAGACTCAGAAAATACAAAATCTCACCCAGAAATTGAAAGAAGAAGAAGAAAAGTTTAAGGTCCTAAATTCCAAAGCAAAAGAAGATGGGCAGAAATTAATAAAGCTGGAGGCTGAACTTGAGTACAGGACAGCCTCATATTCTCAAGAGCATGAGGAGATGACTGCTAAATTTACCAGTCAAGAATCACACAATAAGCAGCTCAGGCTTAAGCTAGTGGGTTTAACCAACAGAATTGAGGAGCTGGAAGAAACCAATAAAAGTCTTCAAAAGACTGAAGAGGAGCTTCAGGAGTTGAGGCACAAAATAGCCAAAGGGGAATGTGGGAACTCCAGCTTAATGGCTGAGGTGGAAAACCTTCGCAAGCGTGTGCTTGAAATGGAAGGCAAAGATGAGGAGATCACCAAAACAGAATCTCAGTGCAAAGAGCTGAAAAAGAAATTGCAAGAGGAGGAACACCAGAGTAAGGAATTGAGGCTTGAAGTGGACAAACTGCAGAAGAGGATGTCAGAACTTGAGAAGCTAGAAGACGCTTTCAGCAGAAGCAAATCAGAATGTACCCAGCTGCGTTTGAACTTGGAGAAAGAAAAGAGTTTAACTAAAGACCTGATCAATGAGTTGGAAGTAGTGAAGATTCGGGTAAAAGACTTAGAGGCTTCAGAAACCAAGTTGGAAAAGGCAGAATTGATCCTAAAAGATGACCTGATGAAGCTGAAGTCTTTTACTGTCATGCTGGTGGATGAAAGAAAAAACATGGCGGATAAAATAAAGCAGGAAGAGAGGAAAGTGGAAAGCCTGAATAGGAACTTTAAGGTGGAGCAAGGCAAAGTTATGGAAGTGACTGAAAAGCTAATAGATGAAAGTAAAAAACTTTTGAAGCTGAAATCTGAAATGGAGGAAGAAGTGTCCAATTTGACCAAGGAAAAGGATGAGTTAATTAACAAGCTAAAAAATGAAGAGGAGAAATCTTTGCAGCTAAACTGTACAGTGGATCTATTAAAGAAAAGAATTGATGGCATAGAGGAGGTTGAAAGAGAAATTGCCAGAGGTCGTGTTAGAAAAGGACCAGGGGTTTCTGGACAAGAGGATAACAAGATCAAAGAACTAACAGTTGAAATCGAAAAGCTAAAAAATCGTCTTAAGCAGTTAGAAGTGGTTGAGGGAGATTTGATGAAAACTGAGGATGAATATGATCAGCTGGAGCAAAAATTTAGGACTGAGCAGGACAAAGCTAATCTTCTTTCCCAACAGCTGGAAGAAATGAAGCTCCAGATTGCTAAAAATAAAGCAATAGAGAAGGGAGAGGCAGTGAGTCAAGAGGCTGAGCTGAGACAAAGATTTCGGGTGGAAGAAGCTAAAAACAGAGACTTGACAGCAGAAGTACTGGCTCTTAAAGAAAAAATTCATGAGCTGATGAACAAAGAAGACCAGCTTTCCCAGCTCCAAGTAGATTATTCAGTCCTCCAGCAAAGGTTTCTGGAAGAAGAAAGTAAAAACAAAGCTATGGGACAGGAGGTGCTGAATTTGACAAAAGAACTTGAGCTGTCTAAACGCTATAGTCGTGTCCTGAGACCCAGCATGAATGGCAGAAGGATGGTTGATGTACCTGTTACATCTACTGGAGTACAAACTGATATGATGAATGGTGAAATGGCAGAAGAAGAGACACCTGCTGTGTTCATTAGGAAATCCTTCCAGGAGGAGAACCACATCATGAGCAACCTTCGGCAGGTTGGGCTCAAGAAACCCAGTGAGAGGTCATCTGTGCTTAACAGGTATCCCCCAGCTGCAAATGAGCTTACAATGAGAAAATCTTGGATTCCCTGGATGAAAAAAAGAGACAACAGTTGTCAGCCAACTCAAGACAAAGGAGCCAGAGTTCAAACCAGCCCCGAACGTCCTGGGGAAGTGGTTCTTTCTCCAAAGCAGGGGCAGCCTCTTCATATTCGGGTAACACCAGATCATGAAAACAGTACAGCAACTTTAGAAATTACTAGCCCAACAGCTGAAGATTTCTTCTCAAGTACCACTGTTATTCCTACCTTAGGAAATCAAAAACCAAGGATCACCATAATTCCTTCTCCTAATGTCATGTCCCAAAAAGGGAAAAGTGGTGAGAGCCCAGTGGGTCCAGAGAGAGCAATGTCACCAGTGACTCTAACTACTTTCTCCAGAGAGAAATCTGTAGAGAGTGAGATGTCTCCATTCATGGAAAGGCCCATGTCCCCAATTCAGATCATGACCTTATCTACCTCTGCAGCACCCACAGAAATTACTGTATCCCCTGAGTCACAGGACATGACCATGGGGAGGGCTGTGTTTAGAGTGACACCAGAGAAACAAACTGTCCCAACTCCAGTCCGACAATATAGTCCAAATACAAGCATCATAACGACTGAGGACAACAAAATTCATATCCACTTAGGTACTCAGTTTAAACGTTCACCTAGCACTGCTCAAGAAGGAATGAGTCCTGTAATTACTGTCAGGCCTATGAATGTAGTGGCAGAAAAGGAGGATATGACAGGGACTGTTCTTCGGTCCCCCAGGAATAATGTATCCTCAAGATCTGGAGCAAGCAAAGTGACCAGCACCATTACTATTACTCCAGTTACTACATCATCCACACGAGGAACACAATCAGTGGTAAGCATTCCAGACTCTGTTGGCTATTTGTGCATCTGCACAATGTAGAGAAAGGTGGTAGGAGAGCAGGAGTGGTCAATTTGTGGCCCATGGGCTGCATACACCCTTCCTCCAGCACCTCATTTGTGGCCCCTGATTACTCCAGTGTCAGTTGTAATGCTTTGGATTTGTTTTTCAAAATTCTCACCTTTAAGCCACTAATCCCGAGTCTCCAAATGCCCTGAATTCATTGGTTTGGGAATTGATTTTGCCCTCCTTTGGGGGATGTTTTGGGGTGTTTAATCATAGAAATAGGAGAGGAGGCCTCTGGAAGACAACATATTCCTGTCCTTACCCTTAACTTCCCAAACCAGAAAAATGGCCCTCAGTCAGTCCCCAGATAGAGCCAGTTTGGTCTGGTACCAGGTTAGAAACCAGGAGATGGTGAGTTCTAAGCCTGCCTTTAGCACGAAAGCCAGCTGGGTGACTTTGGGCCGGTCCCTCTCTCTCAGCCCAACTCACCTCAGAAGGTGGTTGTTGTGGGGAAAATAGGAGGAGAAAGGAGGATTAGGTATGTTTGCTGCCTTGGGTTATTTATAAAAATAATAAAGGCAGGATAAAAAATTACAAAATCGTGATTGGGGGCTGTTTTTAAACCATGGAAAAGAATTGTAAGGGTAGGAGTGGGATTTTTTTTTATTTGCTTGTTTAAGACCCTTATATTTTATCTCCATCCAGCTTCCTGCAACCCTCTGGAAGGGTGGAAAGCTGAATTATATCCCCAGCCCTTCAAATATTGTGTGTCCCTGTTTCAATCAATCTTACCCTATAAGCAGAGTTAGGGATTTTGATGTGCAAAATGTGGATCCATCCTTAAACTCCCTAAATCAGGGATTTTCTTGCTTGGTTCAAATGTTATAGAAATGATTTGTCTTTGGTCTCTCTACCCTCCTTTCCTTCTACTATTATATATCAGAACAGGAGAAGGGAAGCATCTCCTAACTTTTTAAAGAGTTCCTTGAGTATTCAAACTAAAAAAAACCTACCTCATTTAAAAACTAGCTATTGAATACAAGTCAGCATCCAAAACTTTAAAAATATATTTCTCATTGTGTCTTTGAGTTATAAAATGAGGGCGATATCTCTCTAAGATAGGTTGGAGTCCAATCTGTCCCCCCCCCCCAGTTATTTTTTCTCCATATTTTAAATTGTCATCTGTATCATTTTATAAATTTGTATCCTTCAAAAGGCAAGTGAGACATGATTTTCTTTCCCCATGAATATATGTGAAAGGAGAACTAATGCTGCTTAGTCCTACATGGAAATCCCACTATGTCTAATCAGGATGATTCTGTTATGATTGAGTTACTCTTAAACATGAGTACTATTGCAATCTTGATCTCAGGTAACTGTATATTAGATTGCAGTCTTGGGATTCTGTTAGGTAATTAACCAAAAACTCAAGTGAAATAAGATCCCTCCCTCCAATTCATATATTCCACCTGTCTTCACATTCCTTTTCCTACATGGGATACTGAAATAATATGATGAAATCTAAGTATGCAGTCAAGAATAAGAACTAGATTGATATTCTGGAAAATATGAGTCTAGAATGGTGCAACCATAAAGCAGTTCTTGTATTGTCTCTTGGTTTGGTTATAAGAACAGACTAAACGAGGAGAGAGTCTATATACAGATATTAGAGCAGTAAGTCAGTACAGTGGTCCCTTGGGTCATGAACTTAATTCGTTCCGCAACTCTGGTCACGACCCGAATTGGTCGCGACCCGAATCAAATT